TCAGGGTTTAGGGTTTAGGGTAACTGACAGTCAACTCAGAATGTTCATCAAATCCCCAAGACCCAAACCCTATACCGAAACGCCAAAACCCTCAAGCCAAGACCCTCCCCTCGGAAATCGTCCGAGCCGGAGAATGTCGGCTAGCCAGCTCCAGGGCTATACATCCAAAGACCGAGTGGTTGCCCCAAGTGACCCTATTGTTAGGGTTTGGGGTTTCGGTTCATTGTCAAGGGTTAAGGGTTAGGTTCCCGAGTAGCCCCTACATAATAAGGGTGCCCTCTTTCCTACCATTTGGGTTTATTAAGGGATCCCAAAAAGAAAAAGTGCAAAAGGGTACTTCTGAAAACCTAGACGTTCTACAAAGGGCCCTAATCCCTAAACCCTACAGCCCTAAACCCCAACAGGGGAGGGTTTGGCTTTCAAGGCTTTGGGTCTGGGGCTTGTTAGGGATTCAGGGGCTGGTCCAGATACCTAAGGGCTTCGGGGTTGCATCCTATAGCTATTTTTTTGTTGTTGTTTTGCCCGCGCCCTTTTTCCAGCTGCACACCAGAAAGTATAGCTATGGGTTTAAGGTTTAGGGTTTAGGCGTCAGACATACTAGAGCTAGTTTTCTGCCCATGACTAGTAACGTACCATTTATAGGGTGCCTGGGATTTCGGTCCCAACAGCCTTGAGCCCACAGCTCAACGGACTAAAGGAGGGACCCTTAAAGGGACGCTTGGGTTTATAAAGGGGCTTTATGAGACTATATAAGGGGTATATAACGGTTATAAGGGGTATTAGGATTAGGGGTCCCTTCTAAACCCTAAACCCTAAACCCTAAACCCTAAACCCCTAAACCCTAAACCCTAAACCCTAGGGGTCCCTCCTATTGTCCCTTAACAAGCCCAAAAACCCGAAGCCAAAAACTCTGACGAGAGACCTTGCAGCGGCGCTTCAAGTGGTCCCAACTGTAGATCCTCATCCACCTCCTGATGGGAGCTTCAGAAAGGGTTTAGGGTTTAGGGTTTAGGGTTTAGGGTTTAGGGTTTAGGGTTTAGGGGTACCTTATCTTGGGGTCCTTATAATAGGGATCCTACTATTTAGGGTACTATATTAGGGTCCCCTATTTTCGGAAACCCCCTGATGGCTCTTGGATATTTGTTGCTTAGTTGGGGTTTAGGGTTTAATGTCTAGCCTGATAAATAATTACCACACGTTTTGGGGGGGTTCCTTACTATACTTCTAGTATAATGGGCCCCAAAACCCTAAACCCTTAGAGTAGCCCTTATACAGCCCTTTAAGGAACCCTTACAAGGATCCCCAAAACCCTATTCTACTTGGCTGACTTCTGAACCCCTCCTAAAAGTTAAACTTTTAGCCTACTTATTATCGTTCATTTTGAAACCAAGAAGTTAAAGTCCTAAGAGCCAACCAGAAGACCGCCAAGTAATTATTAGGGTTGATGGCTCTTGGGTGTTTCTTGTTTCGTTGGGGGGGGGGGTGGCCGCTTGAGGGCTCGAGGCTTAGGGTTGGGGATCTTATCTTTTGGGTTTAGGGCTTTAGGTTTCCCTAAACCCTAGACGCTAAAGGTTTAGGGGTTTTGGGGGATTGGGGTTTAGGGTTTAGGGTTTTGGGCTCTGTGGCTTTGAGCTTTGGGTTTCCTGAATACTGTAGAAGCCTCAAGGGTTCAGGTGTTCCTACTAAGGGTTCTTTAAATGGTTCTATAAGGGCCACTACAAAGGCTTAGGGTTTAGAGGCCTTAATAGGTAGAATAGGGTTGTGGGGTAGATTATACTGCGTATAATTATAGTAGGGGTCACCCAAAGCTTCGGGTTCCTGCATAGAAACCCTGTAGAAACCCTTATAGATCCCTGCAAGGAATCCTGAAAGAGCCCAAGTTAAACAACCACCCAAGTAAACATCATAGAGGGGCCTGAATAATTGAAATAGGGTGTTGGGGCCCAATATATTCTAAATATAATAAGGAACCCCCCCAAAATAGTAGAGGTAATTATTTAGGCCCCTACATTAAGCTAGACTATAATTCTAATAAGGAGCCCCCAGAATAGTGGAGGTAAGTAACCCTAAACCCCAAACCCTAAACCCTAAACCCTAAACCCTAAACCTTAAACCCTAAACCCTAAACCCTAAACCCTAAACCCTACACCCTAAACCCTAAAGAGACCCCGGGCCTCGGAAAAGATCGTCTAGGCTCTAAGCCTCAGCTAAAGGAAACTACAGGTGGGGAGTTCAGGGTTTACAGGTTTAGGGTTTAGGGTTTAGGGTCTATAGGGTCTATAGGGTCTATAGGGTTTAGGGTTTATGGGGTTTAGGGTCTATAGGGTTTGGGGTTTGGGGTTTAGGGTCTATAGGGTTTAGGGTTTAGGGTCTACAGGGTTTAGGGTGTAGAGTCTATAG